CGTGCCCACCTGTGTTTCAAAACATGAATATAATATAGCGTAACAGTAATGAAACTAAGAAGTTGACTTTAGAAACACTAAAATTTAAGATTCTGGATAATATATATTAAAAAGGCAAATGGGAAAACCCAATAGCAAACGGCCATATAATGCAAAACAATTTAAAATTAAATCGGAACAGTAGACTTGGCCATTGTCTTTCCTCGCTTGTCAACGATCGACGGCATGAAGAAAGAGAGAAGGAACGCGCAAGTTCCACTAGGCTCGTTTCCACAGCCGTTGATTTTTTCCACTTGACCCGATGTCAAATGTCATGAAAGCACCGAATGATAAAAGAACCGTACGTAATGATGAAAGGGCCGAAAGGTAAAAACTAAAAAGCACCAAATGATAAAAGATCCGTAAATGTGGCAAAAGCACTGAACGTAGTGATAAAAGCACCGAACGTAATGTTTCAAAGCACCGAATGTAATGTTAATAAAAGCACCGAACGTAATGTAAAAAGCACCGAATGTAATGTTAATAAAAGCACCGAACGTAATGTAAAAAGCACCAAACCTAATGTAAAAAGCACCGAACGTAATGTAAAAAGCACCGAACGTAATGTAAAAAGCACCGAACGTAATGTAAAATCAGTGATCAGGGTTTTTAAATGTTCATAAAAAATGTGAAAATGCATTCATTCATACCAGTAGCTTTTATTTCAGTAATACTGTGTTGCAGATTGTCCACACATCCACACAGATGAATCCCTGGTTTTTTACATAATTTACTATTTTAAGTCACGTCTGATATGGGGGAATATATTGATATCCTTCATGTTTTGTTACTTACCGTCACACACCATTTGCCTTCAATTAGTTCGGCTAGTTTGAATTCTTGCAATGTCATATTGGTAATGACACCAGATCTGCATGCATTTCGCATGCAGAGTATTGAAATTACGTAACATCGTAGGAAAACTGTTTCTTCATTTGTCATCTTTGGTTGATTTTTCGTTGTTGTTATCTTTTCTGGAAAAAAAAATTATCAGATTTTTATTTTATAGTTTTTTTTTTTTTTTGGTAATATTTGGCATTTAAGAGCATTAGTACATTCCAACATATGGACCTTTACTACTGTACACTCATGTTATAGCAGTTGTTACATGATGACAACTCCTGCTAAAACATGAGTAAAACTGTGATGATCGTCCATCATATCCTGAATGCAGATGTATAACCTTTTTTGACTTGCAGTTGGGAGGAGTGTATCCAGAGTCTTGTTGGCTTCCAGTTTCTATAAAGGCTTCAAAGAGGACATGGTTCCTTTTTCTCATAGTAACCACAATCAATCTCGTCTCATTCGACCATTGTGTGTGCATAAATCATTCGAAAACTTGGATGCTGCAAGACTTTGGAACACGTCTTCCTCCGGTCATCAGAAACTTATATCATTCTCATTCGTTTAACAAAAGCTGCTTTCTTCATTTTATCTCGGTGGCAAGAAAGCAATTTAATGGGGCATATTGTTACTTACCGTCACACACCATTTGCCTTCAATTAGTTCGGCTAGTTTGAATTCTTGCAATGTCATATTGGTAATGACACCAGATCTGCATGCATTTCGCATGCAGAGTATTGAAATTACGTAACCTCGTAGGAAAACTGTTTCTTCATTTGTCATCTTTGGTTGATTTTTCGTTGTTGTTATCTTTTCTGGAAAAAAAAATTATCAGATTTGGATGCTGCAAGACTTTGGAACACGTCTTCCTCCGGTCATCAGAAACTTATATCATTCTCATTCGTTTAACAAAAGCTGCTTTCTTCATTTTATCTCGGTGGCAAGAAAGCAATTTAATGGGGCATAAAAAACAGGTATTTTTGCATTGTAAATTAAATTTGTATGTAAAATGTTGCATATTAATATCATTCAAATGAGTAGCACCATAAAATCTAAATTTAATATATACCAAATTGGTTTTGATTAGAACTTTGCCCAAACCTTGGAATAAATTATGTTAAATTAGAGTAGAGAGGGTAAAGAATTATCTTCTTCCTCATGCAAATATAAAAATAATAGGGAAATATTAACATAAAATATATACAAATATTATTAAACATTTGGTGTCTGGAAAACTCAGATCTTGAAAACTCGGACCTCAGAATACAGATCTCTGATCCGAGTGTTTTAGTTCTAGAAAATGTTAACAAAAATGGAGAGTTAAATGTATAACAGGTTAACTTGAACTAGTTTTTGACATGCTAATTTTTAATTCTTATTTTCAAAACAACAGGAGTGAACACAACTCTCATACATTTTCCACTCCAGGCTTTGTACTCCCCTACCTCTACCAATTGAATATCAATATTACCTTTAATCGCATCAACTGTTGATTTAGACTTTGCTAAAAATTACTTTTCTTCCATTTCTGTGATCATCTCGTCTAAAGAAGATTATTTATGCAATAACCAGTTAATGAATACTAGTAGCTAATAAATTTTACATTCTGCATTGTCATATGTAAAATATTCTGAATAAAAATGGGTATAAATAAAATAATTATTCATGGCGATTTTTTGTTTTGTGTATTTTCATATAGGATTGTAATCCATACCATCAGTCAGTGACAGATTCGAAGGTGGGAGGTTTAGGGTGTTCGGACAAACCCTTCTGTGAAGAAATATAGAAGAAAATACTGCTGGGTCCTTGTTATCCCTCATTCACACCTGTATACAGTATGTTCGGGTAATATGCTTGTCTTGTGTATCGGAGTGTTACATACTATGTGATAAAATTAAATGAATGAATTGTATCTCAACTCTTACCATTGATTTTTTGCTTTTTTTTGTCTTTGTAATGCCACATCTTTTGCTAGCTGCTTCCCAAGGAGTTTCACAATGTTTTGAGCTCTGATGAGCTCAAAAGAGGATACATCTAGTTCAAAAGTTGCATACTCCAAGTATAACTGTATGCTTGTCAGATAATGTCTAACTGTGCTAGCAGTTTTGGTTTCCAGTAGTTCACTGACTAAAATGACTAAGAAAAAAAAATAAATTAGTTACATTACACTGTATATCTCTTTGAATAGAATCACAGTTTATTGATATTAAATATTTGAAATATATAACAGATAATATAATAATTTCAATCAATGAGCCTATTCCCATTACCCATTGATGGAATTGAAGCCCCATTTTTAGTTTGCATAATTAGCCTCGAAAAGGAGCCCATCTCAAAAAGAAACCCATGGGCTTCATTTCAAGATTGCATAGGCTTCTTTTTAAGATATACAGTCACATACAGTGAATTTCAGAAAAAATAACTGAAAAACAAGCTTGGTTTATACAGTAGTTTAGGTGATTTAATGCCAGTTAGATACACTCTATGATACATATTGATGTTATAGTTGCCATGTTTATTGTTTTATAGTAACAATTTATGGCATTCATTTTGATTAGAAGCCCCCTCTTTATTTTGCAAAAGTAGTCTCGAAAAGAAGCCCATCTTAAAAAGAATCCCATCTCGAAAAGAAACCCATCCAAAGTTCGCAAAGAAAAAAGAAAGCCCAGGGCTTCAATTCGAGGTTTTAAGGTATTAGTCTTACATTTAAGCATATATTGAATGCATCCTGGCTTGCCATACTTTCTCAAACTTTTTATATTATATTGCAATAAATATATAAGATTTGATAAAAAAAAAAATTAAAGGTTGCTTTATGTAATAGAATGTGGGTATAGATAATAATAGTTAAATTTTTAAAAACTTACTGCCTTAGATATTTGGCGTTTTCTTTTCCTCCGGAGATTGCATTGAATTCTGCAATGGTTTGTTTGGCTTGTCGGCGTTTGTGCTGTCTGCTTGTAAGCAGGTACTCCTTGAAGTCGCTCTGAGATTCTAGTAAAGTAAAAAAAAAGTAAATTTTTACAATAATGTGTGCCTTTGCTTATCGGATACCAAACACTTTTGGATGAACATTTTTTAACTTTTCTCCCAATAAAGTCCCACTGTGTAAGTAGCCAGTATTTGAGCGTGGTGAACATTTCGTCCAGGTAATGGGAATAGGCACCTTACCCAAGGATGTACATTGTTTTATCTACTATGTGAATTGTTGCGTCTTTTTTTTTTATTTAAATTTTTTTTTGTAATATAAAATTTAAGGAAGATTTAGAGTTCATAAAAGTTGTATACATATACTGCATAGAACTTGTTCAATTTATATAGTATGGTTTGTTTTCAATAGTATATTATCGTGTTATCAAATGTATAGCAAGTTTTGAGTACACTATAGGAAATAGAAGCCGAAACAGCCATTATTTGTGGAAAACAAATTTGCCTGAAATCTGCAGGACAATGGCTTTCTTTGAAGGAAAAAATGGTTACTAAGTTTGCTATGTTCTATAGTGTATGAAGTTACTCGATTATAATTGCTGTAAAAGTCAGTTGTGACTTCCATCATCCTTTAATCAAACTGCTGGTTGTAGACCTGGTTGCTATAATCATAAACCTATAGTGCTGTCTGTGGCCGTGGTCGGTTGCTTAGTGATTACTGTTCCTGTGCATTAGCTGCACATATAAGAATGATTTGCTAGTAGTACATGCACAGCTCTTTGTGATACGAAGATTTTGAATAAAATGGTTGTGGTTAATGAAGTTTACTAATGGTTATTAGGTGGCTTATCCTCTGGTAAACATTTCTTTAATAGAATGAAATGTACTGTAAATATTATTCTGAATTATTTTAGCTTTATTTTTTTTTTTCATTTATTTAATGATTCAATTACCTTGTTATCTCATAAACATTATGCCTTTCTAAGCCTTGCCTAGGATGGTCTAACCTTCATTCATGTATATCCAGCACCGTAGAGAGAAATCTGTTAGGTTTGCTGTGTGCGTTCAGCTTGGCTTAGCAATTAAATATTTCTTTGCGATGTACTATGATAAAATCACCCCAAGTTTGTGCTTTTTTCACTCAAGACATAAAAAATTGCAGGCACTATATCTATATAGTGGTCAGTCAGGGATAGGAAAGTAAGTACAAGTAAAAGTGATGACCTCACCACTTATAAATTTTTTATTTTTTGAAAATGTAATCATTGATAGTGTTTTAGGGTTTAAAATCATACCTTCAACAGGCAACTTAACACTTCCTTTTTGCTTTTTTGTATTCTTCATCATTTTTCTATAAATTAAAAAAAAATGTTGGTTTATGATATTTCTTTCATGATTGATTTATCTTTAATGATTAATTTTTTAACATGCAAGTGTGCACAAAATGATTATTCATAGTAAAACAAGTTCTCGTAATCTCAAAAGACCTGATGAGGGCAGTATATAGAGGCAGCAGAGTATATTGGCCCAAACGGCCACCGGTACAAAAAATATTTATTAATCAATAAGCTGAGTGTTTCTAGAGCTCGTCCTCGGAGCTAAAAATAAAATGAATTCACAATTAAAAAAAAAAAAAAAAAGAAATCAGTATAAAATCAATATAATGATGATTACTGTTAGGCTAAAAAGAAATTTAATGTTAATGATATTGATAGATTTTGTGAAAATGTGTTTTCATTAGATGTGGAGAACCATTTGTTAAATACATACCAAATTAACAAAATTGTATTAAAAATCATGATATAATTGAAAAATGGTATCATTGGAACTTATGTACTCTAAAGGATAAAATGGACCGTGAATATTTTTAAAACTATATTTGTATTTACTGGCCTATACAATACCTTCAGATCGTGGCATTTTTGTAGGTGCCTGTCCAGTATAACGACAGCGGCATGGCATAGGCTACATTGTTTCATTTCTGGCCTTTTCCTAATAAATATAAACATAAAAATCACTGATAATAACTTTTTTTATGTATCTGTAATGTTTCTACTGTAATACATAAACTCAAATATTTTCATACATTGCTTTTTGATATGATTAGGCACTTGACATGTATTTCCAGTTGACATTTTAAGTACATTTAGTGTGGAGGAATGATGGGTTGGATAAAGTAAGTTTACAAAATATTATGCCATGCTATATAAAACTTGCCCTAGTTTTACATTAAGATCTCGATTGAATTGAAAACAGAGAAAGTGACTCTCTAGATAAGACCACTCCTAGAAAGTTCACTAAAAAATCACAACAAAAAGTAGTAGACACAAGCTCCCACTGGGAGCCTATTTTTTTTAAAATATAGACATTTCTGTTTACAGCATTGTAAAAATTAACATTAGAATACTCACTTAAATTTTATGGTGGCCATGCATTTTTTCGTGTATGTTTCATTAACTTTATGAACTTCACGCACATGGCATGGGGTGTATACTGTTTTTTTTCCACATAGTGGGCACTCCTAAAAAATAATACAGTTGCATAAATATTGCTATTGTTTATAAGTTTGAATATCAGATAGTATATTAAGTGTACATACAAAAGAATGAATACGGTGCTATATCTGATACACATCACAATTACATTCACCAAAATTAATTACACTTTTAATATTTAATGACTGGTAATACTATATATTTAATTTAAAGTGTTAGGTTAATCTTTACACCTGAACCTGATCAAGTAAGCACTTGTATTTATTATTTGGACCAATATATTTATGAAATCGGTTTGTAATTAATTTTCAAATACTAAATTAAAAATAAGCAAAGCATCTTCAAAATGTTCACCTTTTTTCCTGTGGAATTTTTTTTTCCCTGAAATAAAAAGGAATTGTATAGTTAATACTATTATGCAAGATAATAAATCTTATATTTTCAAATATATATTTCAATAAATAAAATTAAAACAATAGATATTTTGCATTTTTCAATGGGATTTAATTTACTCTTGAATTTAACATCACATCTTTCAATGAAACATTCTGTCCCAATATATTTATTATTTGAATATTATATGTAATACTATTAATTAATGTGTACAAATCCTTATTTATTACACTACATAACATATTATAAGTATTCATTAATTAAATCATCCACTAAACGCTCAAGTATAAAATTCACCAATAACTATCATGTTCCAGTCACATTTTGGCTAAATCCATTAAATTATCAAGCTATTCAGATATAAAATTTGGTTACTTACACTTGTTTTTTGCATATTTCAATGGGATTTAATTTACTCTTGAATTTAACATCACATCTTTCAATGAAACATTCTGTCCCAATATATTTATTATTTGAATATTATATGTAATACTATTAATTAATGTGTACAAATCCTTATTTATTACACTACATAACATATTATAAGTATTCATTAATTAAATCATCCACTAAACGCTCAAGTATAAAATTCACCAATAACTATCATGTTCCAGTCACATTTTGGCTAAATCCATTAAATTATCAAGCTATTCAGATATAAAATTTGGTTACTTACACTTGTTTTTTGCATATTTCAATGGGATTTAATTTACTCTTGAATTTAACATCACATCTTTCAATGAAACATTCTGTCCAAATATATTTATTATTTGAATATTATATGTAATACTATTAATTAATGTGTACAAATCCTTATTTATTACACTACATAACATATTATAAGTATTCATTAATTAAATCATCCACTAAACGCTCAAGCATAAAATTCACCAATAACTATCATATTCCAGTCACATTTTGGCTAAATCCATTAAATTATCAAGCTATTCAGATATAAAATTTGGTTACTTACACTTGTTTTTTGTGGACTTCATTTATATGGCTTTCAATATCGACAACCTTCAAGCCACACAAAGTACAGCATATCTATAGCAAAACAAAACATTTATAAATTAGTTTTAATTAATTGTAGTTCATCAGATTATAGTACAATCAAATCAAGTCAAAACTAATTTTTCGTCTTTGTAGCTTCCAGCTAAATTGCAACTGATACTGATACACTTACATGTATGACATAAAATAAGAATAACATGGTTACAACTACAATTAAATAACAAACAAAAATGATGTGTAGTACATAACCTATATCAGTAAATTGCATAAATTTCAGTCACCACAGGGCAATATCATAGCCAGCTATTGGGACAGCCGAACACAATTTCCTAAGTCGTCAAGAATGGGTTCACATTTTTAAAAATGGGTCCAATTTATGCAGTTTTATGCATAAATAAGTCCACTTTTGAAAAATGGGTCCATATTTAGCCTAAAATGCGTAAATTTTAAAGAAAATGGGTCCAGATTTTTGCGTAAAATTGTAATCTTTTAAGAAAATGGGTCCACATTATTTTAATTTACCGTACTTGCACGAATAAGCACCCCTCTTGAATAATTGCCCCCATTTAATTTGAATAAGCACTCCCTCAATAATATCAGAAGATTTTCTTATTAGCAAGTCAATAATCCAATCAATCCTGGGACTGTGGTTTTTGGCATGATTTCAGCTGCAGAGTGGAAACATTCTTCTTTAGGTCAATATCAAAATGAGGATATTTCTCTTGGGCAGATGAGAGCCCCGATTCCTGGACAGACAGTATATTTCCAACTTTATTCTTTTTACATATTTGTCTATGCCTAGTCCTACTCCTCTTTTTTTTTTTCTGACCTTTAGCACATTCTCATCTGAGTTTTCAAGAAAAAATACAATGATCTGCCATCCTGCTAATTTCAATCAAAAATTGCCTCTTGAATTTAATAAAGAACCTCTGATTTTCATCTATTTCCATAAGCGCCCAACCAATTTCCACTCTGTTTTCCTAAGTTCCTCGTTCGAATAATCGCCCCTCAGAAAGTGCAAAAAATGTTTTAAGCGCCCAGGCGCTTATTTGCGTGAGTACGGTACACGTAAAGTGGGTCCGTCCTGATATTGTCCCGCGCTGTTTGAAAATCCTGGCTACGGCTTTGACACAGGGCTTTCCACTGGTATTTATCAAGGGCCAAGGTGTTACTATACATAGTATTCCTCTATGTTAAATAATCATGTCATTAAAGGTATCCTCAAGCTAATTTTTTACGAAAGGGCACTTTGGGTCCTTAACCAAATCAGCCACCATGGCTGTAAAATAATTCTGTGCACTATTCATATAAGAGTAAGGGATTCTCCTGGACCATAGTGTAACTGATCATGTGGTGGGCACTGCTGTTTACTTTTCAATTGCTGTTATCAATATTCACTATTAAGAAATCAAATAATGTTTCAACTGTTGGTACAATTTACATAAACCTTTCCTATAAAATATGATTTTTTTTTACCATTTCTTCTTCTGACAGATCCTGACTCATCACTTCTTCATCTGATGGATCTTCACTAAAAAAAAAATGGTAAAATTTAAAAGTATTTTTTGAAGTTTTGTATTCTTTATATGTGTTGAGTTTTGTAGTGTTCACCTGGATGTGATTTATTTTATAAATTAAATGTGACTTGATGCAAAACTGGCTAAGCAACTGGTTATCAGTGTCAAGAGAAAAAAAACTTGTCTGTGGTGTGATTGCAAAAGAAACAAAATTATAATTCTAGAAAGAAGGAACTTTAACATTAATTACCTATGCTCCTCTGAATTGATAATACCTACTACTTTGGTTAGTTTTAACTTACCCATTTTCAATTTGTTTGAACATTTTCTCAACCTCATTTAACTGCAAGAAATGTGCAATAAAGAATAAATGGAAAATAACAATAGCAGCTTATATGGTCAGTGCATTTATTATGGAAATAATAAAATGATCACATAGTCCATGTTAGCATATCATCATGGCAGTATCATTTTGAAACAAAAGTCATATATTTTTGACAACTTTTTAAATATTTTATGTATTACGTTGTTTAAAAATGCATTGCATAATTTTATGTTTTAGATTTTAATTATCAAAAACAACATCAATTAGGTGAATTTGTTTAATTTTAATTATTCTCTTAATTTGATATAATAAAACAAGTTAATTATAAACAGATTTACTTTACCTCTTCATCCATGATTAAGAGTAACTGAAAAAAAAATGTCAGACAAACATGGTTAAAAAGAATAGTTTACTAATACATTAACTAATACAATTTCATGGCAAAATAAGTACCAAATGGGACCACAAAGATACTATGTTTAAACTTGCTTGTTCTTAAGGTATATTTGAAAAATATTTCTCAGTGTTATTGCAGTAATTTCATGTATGATTTCAGTGATTCTACACTATTTATATTTTTTTAGATATTAATTTTGCTATTTCAAAGGTTTATCATAATAAATATTTAAAGGAACAAGCTAAAAATGAAAAAATGAAAAATTTTACAGTACAACTGGCATGTCGGTTTGTACAAGAAACCCTAGGGTTTTTCCTTATTTCCATAATGAGAAGTGATGTTGAACTTGCACTAAAAACAAGCCATTAAAAAGTATGAAGTAAAAAACACATGAAAATCAAAAATACTAAATACTACTAAAGAAAATTATGAAGTTATTAAAAACAATGAAAATCAACTTAACGAAATAGTGAAATTTGCTTTAAAATACCAATTTTTGGATCGGGGTATGAGAAACATGTTTATATATTTATTCACTTTTAGTTTTTTTTTATTTTTGTAACTGAAAACTGACAGGACCTTAGTTAAATACTTTACCCATTATAGTCGTTCAGTAGTGGCACCAGGGTGTCTGATAGGGTGGGTCCAAACACAGGCCGACTAGACCCTCTGTCCCTTGGAATAAACGTCCTTGGGCTTATGGGAGAGGTTTTTTTTAGCTTCATATGGCCCAAAATTTTGCTTGTAAGTCAAAATATTAGGGATTGGCAATCAAAATAATGTTATATGGATAAGCTAATCATTATTTCTGGTGTGGCGACCTCGTCATTGCATCGGACGATGGGAGTCTAAGCCTGCCAAGCAAATCGGAAAGATGACGTCAACACACCAAATTAGACTATGACAATGAAAACTAAAGGAAATGTTTACCAATTTAAATTTAATTTTTCTACACTTTATTTTTCTTCATCATCATTATTA